GGACCGGCTTCCGGCACTTAACTCCAGGTGGAGGGCCAGGCGTTTGGAAACAGGCACTATTTTTAGAGATGAAAGCCAAATTGCTTGTTTATTCCAAAGACAATAGACTAATACTTTTAGCAAGGCCCTCAGGGAACATTTTTAATGAATATGGAATGACTAAGGTGGTAGATAAAATCACGAGACCATAGGGCATTTCCCCCCCAGCCTTGGAGGGCCTCCTGAAGGGCCAGGCCCTTTGCTATGTGCACACTCGCACAAAACCCTACAGTACTGACAGGCTGAAGGCTTCTCAGCACCATTTTGCTGGGGAAACTGAGGCTCAGAAAGGCTAAGTAAATTGCCTAGTGTTGCACAGCTAGTGGGGGGGGGGAGTAGCGATTAACACATAGATTCATTGCCTGCACTGCCCACTCTCCCAACGACAGTTACACTGGGGAATGCGCCCTCAATCCCACTCCTGTCAGCAGGCTAAACATCGCACCTGCAATTTTGGTCCACTTGCTTTCAACAAACCCATTCTTTTCCTCATAAACCACACAGAGTCCCACCCTAGTCAGAATCATCAAAGGCCCAATTAACCCTGAATTCCATGGCCCCTTCCCTGCAAAATTCCCCCAAACCCACGGCTTTTCAGGCCGGGAATATTACAAATCTGGTAGAAAACCAGCCCAGCAAGCAAGCATTTATTCTATGGCAGCCCTGTGGGGGGAAGGGGAGAAATCCACATGCCCAAAAAAACCACCCACGGCAGCTCAATTCCAACTGCCAAGCCTTTATTAGTGGTGATAAAAGGCAGCAAAAAATGCACAGGGCTTTCTACTCTCAGGTGGGGGCAGCCGTCCTCGGAATTAGTCATGTTTTGACTGGGAGAGTTATAGAATTTATAATGGAGGCCCTGGAGAAATTAAGCACGGATTACAGCCAACCCCCTCCCCCTGATGAATGTCTCCAGCGGGAACAGTGCACAGGGCTCCCTGGGACCCTCCAGAAACCTGGGTTGCTGGCCCAGAGATCTGGACAAAGATGATGAGCCCACAATACATGGGAGGTGGCCGGGCTGTCTCCCTACCTTCCTGGGGTCAAGTCCATTCCTCATCGAATCTGGGCTGCGGGACTCGGGTCTGTCCTCTGAGTCCCGGGCAGCACCGCACCCCCAGCAGGATTCAGGAACGCTTGTCTAATGAGTCTGTCTTCCCCCAAGGTCATCCTTCTGGGTCCAGCTTCGGTCTCTCTCTGGAACATCAGGAGAAGTGGCCTGAATGTGGGCAAGTCCAGTGAACTCTGTCTTAATTAAAGAGTCAGACGCACCTCTCACACTCTGTTTTTAGGGCCCTTTTAAAACACCAAAGGCCCCTGAGAGCACTCGTATAGCAAGAGGCTGAGACCTTAGTGGAAAAGTTCATCAAAAGAGCAGGATGAAAAGGAATCTTTGCAGGAAGCATGTGAAAGCTTTGGGGCTGTGCTTTGTGAGTCTCTGTGTGGTTGATTGCTCGAGTCTTTAATCCTGGCTTGTTGCAAAAGAGTGGCTCCGGGAGAATATTAACCCTTATTGAGCACCTATTATGTGGCAGACACGGTGCTAAGCAACTTTATAAACATGCTTCAATGTAACAGAGCCTAGAAAAGGGCTCAGCACAGAGTAGGGGCCTAATAGTATTCATTGCATGGATAAGTGACTTTAAGCCCCATAGCAGCCGTGGGAGGTCGGGAGGTCGGTACGATTAATGAACACTTTGCAGATGAGGACAGAGAACCAGAAAGGGGCGGGTCTTTGCCCCATGCAACACAGCATGCCAAGTGGGGAGCAGAGTCCAAGCCCCCAGGTGTCTGATTCTGGCACCAGAACTCTTTCCTGTCAGCCACGGCTCCTCCTTTCTCGGCAGGATGGGCTTCCTGGGACAGGTGGCCATGCTCGGGGCTGAAGAAGTGAGAAACCCGGGAGCTGTCCGGGATTTGCAGTGCTGAAAGGAAGAGCACAGACTCCCAGCCCGGGCAGCACAGGACTTGCCCTCGCCACCAAGTCATTTCACTCTCTCACTTGGCCATCCCTCTCCCCAAGTCCCGCATCCCCAGCTTCCTCTCCTGCCACCACCCAGGCCAAGTGATCTAAAACTGCTAGACAGCTGCTAGATGATAGAAAGGAAGATGTTTTTCTCTCAAACCCACCACAACCCCCAGTATCACCAACACCAAATCTCCAGTCTAAGGCATCAGAGAGGCACAAGGTCCCGGGCAATGCAGAATGTTTAGCCTGGAGTCTAATGGAATGCATGTTTCCATGATTTATGTTATTGCTCTGGCCTGGTCCCTCTCTGGGCCGTTCTCCAAGCTACACCCAGAGTTCCAATTCTTCAAGTGATGTCATGACTGTCCTTACAATTCCGAGAGGCCTCGCCATCACCTTCAGGATGAAGTCTTCACTTCTTGGCATGACACTCAATGTCCTTCCAGAACTGGCCCTACTTACCTCCACCTTCATCTGTCCTCTCTCCCTACTGCCCTCACTCTCCAGCCATTCTAAATGTCCCGTCTATTTAACACCCCCATACCGGGTTGTTAAAAGCAGCTGTGGGGCTGGTGGCAAGGACAAGCATTTCAAAGAAAAGGAACAGCATGTGCGAAGTCCTGGTGCTCTGGCCTGGGTCATTCAGGGATCATTTCCTAAGGAAGACTCCTGGCTGACCACCTCTCCTGTAGCCAGACACTCTCCATCCCTGGGCTAGCTCTGCATACAGAATGTGCTTCGGACCCATCACTCAGACAAGGAAAGAAATTGCCCTGCAGTGCTTCGTCCTGGACGGTAAGCTAGCACTTTATGTTTTATTCATTTTGAATCACTAGTACCTATCTGCATGTGAGAGGTAAAAATAAACAGAAGAGCCAGGTTTTTGCTAAGAACTTGTTCAACGGAGGCTGATGTATGCAGAAATAATAATAGCGAACCCTTAGGTATCTGGTACTTGCTAAGTGTTTTATATATGTTAGCTCACCAAAGCCATATGGTAATCATCAAACCCACCATGAGGTGGGCATCTTGTTAGGCCCATTTTACAGATGGGAAAACTGAGGCACAGGAGGTTAAGTAGCCTCCCCCAAGGCAACAGAGCCAGAAAGCAGCACAGCAAGCATGTTTATCCAGACAATCTGCTTCAGTCCCAGCCATTGTCCATTTCATTGTCCATTTCATCCAAAGCCAACCCAAATCCAAAGACAAGGGTGGCAAGCCCCCACCTTGGCAACAGAAACTGGCAGGACTGGGAATGGCCTAGCTAAGAGCCCTTCCATTTGTCCCCCCTGTCAGCCCCACCCAACCCTCCATCCCCAGCTGCCAAGACCCTGCCTCCCACCCCCTGCACCTGGCTGACCCTGGCAGGCAGCCGCAGACCCCTCGTGGAGGAAAAGCTTCCCCCAGCTCTGAGCAGCTGCCAGGCCAGGCGTGCCAGAAGTTCCGCCTTAGGTTGATGGCCCCGCACAGCCCCATGGAGCTGCTATTTTTAATTTAATTGGAGAGTGGAAGGAGAGAGATGATACCCAGTGAGAGAGTTTTAAAAGCTTTCAGCGTAGGGAAGGAGGGAGAGAAAGCGAAGAAAAGTTCGTAATTATACACCAGGAAGCCAGATTTGATGCTTGGACTGAAAGGTTAAATGTTACATTCAGAATGAAATGAGAAAGAGAGTTCTGATGACAGTTGCCCAGAGCTAAATAAGGAGAAAAAAAAATACCCCTTGCCCAGCTCCCTCGGCTCCCTCATACCCATTTCTGTGCTTCCCCGCTTCTGCCGTTTAAAGCTCGGGAGTACACAAATAAACCGGCTTGAGCACAAAGATTACGGCTCTGTATATCAACACCTGCTTGCCACCCAAAAGCAGCTTTCACTAGAGCGCAGAAAAATCACGTGTTTCGTCTCTCAGGCCAACAGACCCAACAGGGTCCAGAACACTGGGGAGGGGTCTAGCACTGTAGGTGACAATATGGACTTAAATATGGATGGAGCTAGGTTCAAACCTCTCCGCTACCACGGGACAGGTGTGGTGGGTCAGCTCAGCCAACATCCATGTGCCTCCTGTTGCTTTCTTTTTTAAAAATAAATTCTTACCCAAGGATATACTTACTGATTTTCTGGGGACCGCTGCCGGCTCAGGTTTGGGGATAAATTTGTGGCCAAGAGAATCTAGTCCGCATGTCAAAGACAAGGTGAGCTGGTCTCTGGCTTTCAAATTCCTCCCCCTGTCCCTGCAACATCAGGGTTCCTTGGGCCTCAGTCCTCCACCCACGTTACTCTATCCCAGTCCCCAACACTGGATCCAAGAGCCCCTTGTAGAAGCAACCGGACAACACAGTAGTTGAGGCCCAGACTGGATCTGAACCCCACTTTCACCACTTACCAGAAAAAATATTTGTTAAACAAATAGCACATTGTGGCTCCTTTCTCTGTATTAGTCAGAGTAAGCAAGACAGCTGCTGTAACAAGCAACCCCCACATCTCAGTGGCTGAACACAGTACTCTCCCTCATCTCCCAGTGCAGTGTAGATTGGTGAAGGGGTGTGGTCCCACCCAGTCATGCAGCCTTGGAGGGCCTCCTGAAGGGGTGTGCCAGATAATAATTCTGCGGCACGTAGCATTTTCACTCCACTCCATCTGGGGTGGAGAGAAAGAACATGGCAGAGGAAGAACGAGAGGCTCCAGGCTTCTGCCCATTCTGCTCAGGAGTAACCACTGTCCACAGGCCCCGAGCTCCCCAACAGCTGCCCTGGCCCCACCCTGGTTCTCATAGACTCATACTCCCTAGGTCTCCCTACCGAACTGCCCACATAACGCCCATTCATCACAGAAGCTACGACTGGTTCCAAACAAGTGGTTTATTTGCATTTATAAAACAAGACCGAGGGCACTCGCTCCTCCTGGCCCGAGTGTGGAGGGTTAGAAACTTCAACTCTCCCCAGCCTCACCCTCCCGCCCCCCCACAAACTACAAAATATTTCTCTCTTGCCCCAGTTAAAACCTACTCAACTAGAAGAATGGACAACCCAAGGAGACGCCAGTGAACAATAAGTGGCTATCATGGAGATGGCAGCTGACCGCTCCCATCCTAGTCACAGCCCACCCCTGGAGAAACTGCCCCTGGGGGGCTTCGCAGGATGACACCTTGTCCTCCCATGGGTTGGATCCCATTTTTGAAACAAGATAAAACCCCAGAACTTTAAAACATCCCCCATGAGCTCAGAATTCCAATGCCAGCTAACCCCACCCCGGCCCAGTCCCTTTCACTGAAATTAATCCACCAGTGCCCATCTGATGAAAGCCGGGTCACCCCCCTCCACCACCACCCCGGGCAAGCCAACAGGCCACAGCTCCTATTTCTCATCGTACTCCTTCCTGGTCATCCACTCAGACTTGTAAGTAGACAGATGAGCCACAACAGACGCTCCCAGCCAGACGCTAAAGTTTCTCTTGCTGTGACTCCACACGGAGGCATCCGTGCAGGAGGGATAATGCGGGGCCAGCTCCAGGAACAGGCGCCGGGTGAAGCCCGGGTAGAGGGTGTTCCCCCCACAGGCGATCACGTGCGACATGAGCTGGGGCTGCAGGGCGGTGTCGCAGGCGTTGATGGAATCCAGCACCGCCTGGGAGATGCTGGACCTCTCCTGGTCGAACACCTGCGGGCTGAAGAACATCTCGGGGGCCAGCCGCTGCATGGGGGTCAGCTCCACGGAGGTGCCGTCCGGGAGCACGTAGGTGTTACTATCATCGTAGCCAGTGGGCAGGTTCTGGCGGTAGTCCAGCGCCTCCACCAGGTTCTGCGGCACATAGCATTTGGTCATCTTAATGGCGTCAACTGTTTGCAGCTGAAACAGCTTGTTCACCTTGCTGTCTTCCTTGAAGAGGCTCTTGACGAGATAGTCGGAGAGATCCTGGCCGCCGAACTCCATCAGCTTCCCGGTGGGCCATATGGGGCGGCCCAAGTGGAAAGGCTGGACTCGGGTCAGGCCGCAGCCGGAATCGACCACCATGCCCGTCAGGAAGCCCGTGGCGTACAGGGACATCTCCATCTGGTCGGCCAGGAGCAGGGCCGGGACATCCAGTAACTCAAACATAATCTGCAAGGGGGGAGGAGACAAGACACACGCCGTCTTTTCCTTGAACGCAGGGCTCGGACCCACTTCTGTTTTATGCAGCACCGGGCTACGCCCAGCTCTCAAAAATGAAGTCAGCACACAGACGTCTGTCCTCCAGCGGCTGGCGGCTGCCCCCAGCACGCCGGGCCCAGGGACCCTGGAGCTCCCGCTGTGGTACCGTGACTCCCCCACTGAAAACTCAGGAGCTTCCTGTCCACCGAGAGCAGGGGTCGGCAAGCGTCTTCTGTAAATGGCCAGATGGGTTGCCGGATATAGCAAATAAAAATGTAGGCTGCCCAGTCCAATTTGAATTTCAGATAAACAACAAAGAATGATTCAGTATAAGCATGTCGTGTGCAATATTTGGGGCATACTTTGTTACACTGAAGCATCCTTCATTGTTTATCTGAGATTCCCATCTAACTAGGTAGCGTGTATTTTATCTAGCAAACCTACCGTCGTAAATATTTTATGGGATCCACAGTCTCTGATGCAACTACTCAACTCTGCTGCTGTAATAAAAGCAGCCATAGATGATATGTAAATGAGTGGGCATGGGCACGTGCCGGTAAAACTTTATTTATCAAAACAGATGCTGGGCCAGATTTGGCCCGCCAGCGGTAGTTTGTCAGCCCTGGATTTAAAGTAGAATGCAAGCGCTTCCCGTAGCCTACCAAGCCTGCCAGCGCCGGCCCCTGCCAACCTCACCTTTCTGTCTCCATCTTGCCAATCTCCCACCCCCGCCCCATTCGCCTCACTAGTTGAAACCTCCTCCTCAGAGAAGCCCTCCCTGATCACTCTCTTCAAAGGGGGTCCCCCGATCCTCACCAGTCCGCTCTCACCACACTTTAATTTGCTTCTAGAACCGATCACTCTCTGGAATTCTTTTTGGTTAACGTCTTCATGGTCAAGTCCTCCCCCAGAAGGTAAGCTCCTCGAGGGCCAGAATCTCATCTGTGAACATGACCGAATGCCCAGTGTCTCCCAGTCATGCCCCTTCTAGAGCATTTTTCCTGCCCTGTCTTTCCCTCTGTGGGAAGAGCTTCCCACAAGTCCCTGAGGCCTAATGCCGGGCCCACGTGAGATCTCTGAAAACACTCGTGGGGCAAATGATTAAGAAAGAAAAGCCGCAACTGGTTTGGCTCAATGGATAGAGCATCGGCCTGCGGACTGAAAGGTCCCAGGTTCGATTCCGGTCAAGGGCATGTACCTGGGTTGCGGGCACATCCCCAGTGGGAGGTGTGTAGGAGGCAGCTGATCGATGTTTCTCTCTCATCGAAGTTTCTAGCTCTCTATCTCTCTCCCTTCCTCTCTGTAAAAAATCAATAAAATATATTGAAAGAAAGAAAGAAAGAGCCCCTGATGGCCAATCCTGTCCAAACACGAAGTGCTGCTGCTCCCCGCTCCCTGGGGAGAGCAGCCCCGAGAAGGCCTTACCTCCAGGGTCTTCTTTCGCTCCATAGGGTCCTTCAGGGGGGACTCTGTGACCAATACGGGGGTGTCCTCGTGTATCAGTCTGTGCTTCTGCAGGACAAAGGACCAGATCTGCTCCACGCCCTCCCAGTTGAGGACGCGGCCCCGCTGGATGGGGTAGCTAAAGGTGTCAGGGTGGAGAAGGTCGATGCCCAGACCCAAGCGCCGCCGGGCGGAGCTGGGGCCGGGGTTCTCCCTGCACGGCCTGTAGTTCACGATGCTTGGTAAGACCAACTGCGGCTCGTTCCAGCCGGAGAAGCCGGACTTCATGTAGCCAGACCCGTGGTCGATGACGATGGTTTGCTCGGTCATGGCCGAGGAAGGGCTGGGAGGGCTCTTCTGAAGGGTGTTTGGCAAAGGCAGGCCACCTGCGGAGGGAAAGGGCGGGGGTTCCCTGTGAGCCCATTCTGGCCACCGTGGGCCGCTTCCCACTCTCCACCCAGCGTCAAGCCTCAGGCTCCCCGAAGCCTGTCCGTTCCCGCGTCCAAGCCGTTGTGCCAGCTGCCGCCTGTGCCTGGAAGGTTCTTCCCCAAACTCCCATCATGCGACAAGGCGCCCCCGGGCCATCTGAGAACACGGAGCAGTGACACCAGGCGGGCACTGGGCTCCACGGGAGCGGAGGTGGGGCCCTATGACTCTCTGCAGAGTCGGCAACAAGTGTGTCCCCCAGGGAGTGCTTGGTGGTGGTTGGCTGCCTGGTCTGAGGACACACAGAACACTAACCAGCAGCCTGAGGGGCCACCGCCCTCCGCGGTAATGGTGTAGCCGCAACAGCAGCAGGAGCCGTGGTAACCGTGACAACGCCAATGGTGACAGCAACGCCAGCTCTAGCTACCATCTCTGAAGTACCCGCCCTCTCTCTAGTACTAGGAGGATCATTTGGCCTATTAGGTCGAACTGGGTAACGTTGCCATTTGTATCCGTCAGAAATGGTCAAATAGCAGCAATTCTGTACGTTCTGAATTTAATCTCTAAAGCAGGTACCGCTGTTACACTCACTTTACCGATGGGGAAACTGAGGCACAGAAGGGTTACAGTTGCTTTCCCAGGGCCACACAACCAAGAAAAGCAGACCTGAGAGTTGAACCCAAATCAGACTCTGAGCGTTGGGCGAGGCAGGAGAAGATGTGGGTTTGGAGTGTGAGCTGAGTGGCTAACTTATAAGGGAGGCTGTGAGTGAGGCATGTAACTCTGATTGTGGTCAGTTTCCCCATATATGTAACGTGGGGAGGATAATAATCTCTGTGCTGAAAAGTAGGTGTGGTCACTTCCTGATTTCCAGGCTTCCTGTGAAACTCCAGTATCGGGGACATAAATGGGGGAGAAACTGGCCCACGCAGGTCTTCGGTCTTTGACAGGGTGCTAAACAAGGCGACGAAGGAAGAACAGTCTTACAACCATGAGTGGGAATAGCTGGATAGCTAAATGCAAAAAAAAGAACTTTAAGGAACGGAATACCTCACACCTTATAAATAATTAAGTCAAAACGGACCGTTTGTAAAACTTAAAACTATCACCCTTTTTTTTAAAAAAGAACCAGAGAAAATCATTATGACTTTAGGGGAGGTAAAGTTTCCTTAGATGTAACATCAATAGCTGGATATAGAAGAGAACAAGTTGATGGATTGGAGTTCATCAAGTCTGAGGCCTTTTGCTCTTCAAAAGACACTGTGAAGAGAAGAAAAAGATGAGCCATGGACTAGGAGGAAATATGCACAAATCATGTATCTCATAAAGATCTTGTGTCCAAAAAGCACAAAGAACTCCCAAAACCCAGTAAGAAGAAAAACAACTCCACTTTTTTTAAATGGGCAAGAGGCTTACACACTTCAGAAAAGAAGACATGTGATGGCAAACACGTGACAGATGCTCGCCGTCACCAGCTGTTAGGAAAATGAAAATTAAAACCACGACGAGACACTCGCACACACCGACGAGAACAGCTGGAGTTCAAGACCGGCTGTGCCAAGTGCTGACGAGGAGGTGGCAGGACTGGAACCCTCAGACCCTGGGGGTGGGAAGGGGCACAGCCACTGGGAAACAGTTTGGCTGAAAACTTACATCCACACAAAAATCGTGATGCACATGTGCAGAGCAGCTTTATTCTTGGTCACCAGAAACTAGAAACAACCTAAAATGCTTCAGCTGCGGAGCAGATGAGCAAATCTCCACTCAACAGCACAAGACTCAGCAAATAAAAAGGACTCAAGAACCAATAACGTGAGCAAATCTCGATGCATTAAGCTGAGAGGAGCCAGATTCAATGTTTCTCTCTGTGTGTGTCTCTCTTTGACTCTCTCTCTCTCTCTCCCCCACCCCCCACCCCCCTACTTTCTCTAAAAAAAATCAATTCAAAAAATATCCTTAGGTGAGGATTAACAACAACAAAAAAGAAAAAAGAAAGGTTTTTTTAAAAAGAAAAAGAAACACAGACACGTTCAAAAATGTTTTTAAAAACAGAAGAGAGAAATCAATTGTGCTGTGAAATTAAGATGGAAGACAGAGGACTATCCATTGGATTTGGCAACACAGAATTCCCCGGTAGCCTCTGCCAGACTGGCCCCTACTCCCCAAGGACATCTGTAGGCACAAAACAATGTAAGGAAGGCTCAAAAGTGAAGGGCCTGGCCACCAACACAATGTACGTCTTCTGATCCTGGATAAAAAAAAAAAAAATTACCAGAAAGAACAATGTTTATCCAGTAGATTAACTAAAATGGAATACTAAACAATCTTCAAATAATCTAACAAGTGGCAGGAAAGATGGACCAGAGAAACAACAGAAGAAATAGGGGAGGCAACAGTAGTAGACCTATATCCAACCATATCAACAATCACATTAAAATAAAATGACCCAAGACACAGCAACTGGAAGGCAGAGACTGTTGGACTGGAATAACAATAGAAAGACCTGGCTACGGGCTGTCTACCAGTAGAAGAAACCCACTTTAAATAAAATAAAGAGCGGTTGAAAGTAAAAGGGGGGGGGCGGGGGCGGGGGAGATACCCCATGCCAAAATGGATCCAATGGAAGCTGGAGCAGCTATCTGTACATGAGACAAAGTAGATTCCAGAACAAGGACAGTTACCGGGAGTAAAGACGGACATTGAATAATGATAAAAGGGTGAATGACCAAAAGGACAGAACAGTCCTAAATACATATGCATCTAACAGATACTCAAAACCCTTTCTGCAGAAATAGTGAACGCCACCATACCTGTAGGCTTCAATTCATTTTTCAGAAATCGATAGAAAAAGGTAGATGAGTCAAGCTGGTTGTTCAGAAATTCCATACCTTTGCCAATTTTCTAACTGATATTTATAGAACACTTCATCAAACAACAGAATACACATTGATTCCCAAAACACATGAAATGCTCACAAAACAAGCCACATGATAAGCCACAACACAAATCTAGACAAATTTAGAATTAAAATCAAATAAAACATGTTCTCTGCACCTAAAGGAGTTAAGCTAGAAATCAAAAGCAGAGAGCTGGGGAAATCCCCAAATATTTAGAAATTAATGCAAGTCGCGCATGGCTCAAAGAAAACGATTAGCAAATAATTTGAACTGAATGAAAATAAAAATTCAACCTGTCAAAATTTGTGAGATGCAGCTAAAGCAGTGCTCAGAGGGAATTTATAGCATTAAGGGTTTGTATTAGAAAAAGAAGGTTTCAAGTCAACAACTTAAGCTTCCACCTTAAGAAAGTAGAAAAAGAACACATTAAACCCAAAACAAACAGAGGCTGAAAATAATAAGGAACAAAATAAATGAAACTGGAAACGAAACCAACAGAGAAAAGTCAATAAAACCAAAAGCTGGTTCTTGGAGAAGATCGATAAATTGATAAACCTCTAGGCGGACTAAGAAAAAAAGACACGAGGCACAAAGGATTGATTTCAGGAATGAGGTGACATTACTTTGGCTCTACAGACATGAACAGAATAACAAGAAAATATTATGAACAACTTTTTGCCTATTGATTTGACAACTTAGGTGAAATGGACAAATTCCTTCAAAGACATAATCTACCCAACTTCACTCAAGAAGAAATATGTAACCTGAGTAACTCTGTAACTATTAAAAGATTGAATTTTTAGTTAAAAACTTTCCAACATAGAAAACTTCAGGCCCAAATAGCATCACTGGTGAACTCTACCAAACATCCCAGGAAGAAATGACACTGATCGTTCCCAATCCCTTCCAGAAAGAGGAAGAGGAGGGGACACCCCAACTCATGCTGTGAGGACAGCATTACCTTGATCCCAAAATCAAAGGTACTACCACAAAAGAAAACTATAAACCAAAATCTCTCATGAACATAGATATAAAAAATTACCAATAAAGTCATAGCAAACTCAGCAATATATAAAAAGGATAGTGTGGTTCAGTTGGTTGGAGCATCATACCAAAAGGTTGCGGGTTCCATTCCTGGTCAGACCACATACTTAGGTTGTGGATTCAATCCCCGGTCAGGGCAAGTATGGGAGGTAACTGATCAATGCCGCTTCCTCACAACAATGTCTGTCTGTCTGTCTGTCTATCTCTCTCTCTCCTCCTTCCCGAACTCTCTCTCAAATCAGTAAATATGTCCTTGGGTGAGGATTAAAACCAAAAAACGATAAACTACATCAATTAAGTGGTACTTATCCCAGAAATGTAAGGCTAGCTAAATGCCGGGAGCCGGTCCATCCTTGCTGTTTCAAGGGACCTGGCATATATGGCATACTGTTCTTAATATGTTTGCTCACCTTCTTGGCATTATGTGTTATAACCAAGGTCACCTCTTTGAGAAAGGTTGTTTCCCCAGGTAGGGATTTTCCCCTGAAGTTAGGGAGGGAATAAAACACCTCAACTAAGTGCCAGGCGGGTAATTAATCACTTTAACTACGAACAATCACGCTTAAGCTACATAATCTTTACTCCCTGGAATGGAGATAAGAAACGCCCTAACCTTTGTAATAGAGATTGATAGGATTGGAATCAACTGGTATAAATACAGATGTAACAAGACAACAGGAGACAGAACCTAGACACAGAACCTACACAGAACCTAGAGACAGAACCTAGCGAGAGAACATGGCAAAAGATCCTGGACAGAAACTGGCCACAGAACCTAGAGTCAGAACCTAGCGAGAGAACCTGGCTGAAGAACCTAGAGACAGAACCTGGCTACAGAACCTGGATAGAACATGGCAAGAGAACCTGACTAGAACCTGGTGACAGAACCTGGCTGGAGAACTTAGCAAGAGAACATGGACACAGAACCTGGCTGGAGATCCTAACCAGAACTTCGCTGGAGATCCTGACCAGAACTTGGCTAGAGATCCTGGCTAGACTGCTGATCAACTGAACGCTGTCTCTGTGCCATTCCTTCTTCGCCGACTCCGTCCACACCTTTGGGGACCCCTGGACCTGCTGGGGTTGGACCCCAGCAGCTAAACATTTTCAAACCAATGTAATTCAAAACCATGTGACCATCTCGATAGATGAAAAGAAAGCACTGGACAAAATTCAATGTGTAATTACAATAAAAATTCTCAATAACTAGGAATAGAAGGGAATTCCTTTAACCTGATAAAGGGCATCTACAAAAAAAAAACAAAAAACCCACAGATAAGATCATGCCTAATGGTGAAGGACTGAGAGCTCTCCCGCTAAGATTAGGAGCAAGATAAGCAGGTCACCTCTCACCTTTCAACAATTAACTGAAAGTCCCAGCCAATTCGATAAGGCGAGAAAAAGAAATAAAGGGCACAGAAATTGGCCAGGAAGAAATAAAACCATTCCTACTTGCAGGAGAGACCATTGTCTAAATAGGAAATCCCAAAGAACATACAAAAAAAAGATCCTAGAACTAGTAAGTGAGCTTGGCCAACTCACATGATACAAGTTCAACATTTTAAAAACCAATTTTAAATTTTATTTATTTATTTAATCCTCACCTGAAGACATGCTTGGAGGAAGAAAGAGACATCAATGTGAGAGAGAAACATCTATCAGCTGCCTCTCCTACGTGCCCCAACCTGGGATCAAACCCACAACCCAGTAATGTGCCCCGACTGAGAATTAAACTGGCAAACTTTTGGTGCACAAGATGGTACTCAATGAACTTAGCCAGTCTGGCTGGGCAAAATCAATTCTATTTTATATACTAACAATAAACAGCTGGAAATCAAAATTTTAAAAGCAGTGCCATTCATAGTAACATCAAAAAACATAAAATGCTTTTGTATAAATCTAACAAAATATGTTATAAAATACGTTAAAACCTACAACTTTGGATTAATGAAATCAAAGGATATCTAAGTAAATAGTTACACTGTGTTCATGGATTACAAGATTCAATATCATTGAGATGTTAATTCTCCCTAAATTGATGTATATGTTTAATCCCAAACAAAGGAATTTTCTTTTAGTATCAAGATGATTCTAAAATTTTTATAGGAAGGCAAAGGAATTAGAACAGCCAAAATAATTTTGAAAAAAGAACCAAGTTGAAAGACTCACACAACCTGCCCTGACTGGTTTGGCTCAGTGGATAGAGCGTCGGCCTGCGGACTCAAGGGTCCCGGGTTTGATTCCGGTCAAAGCCATGTACCTCGGTTGCGGGCACATCCCCAGTGGGGGATGTGCAGGAGGCAGCTGATTGATGTTTCTAACTCTCTATCCCTCTCCCTTCCTCTCTGTAAAAAATCAATAAAATATATATTTTTTAAAAAGACTCAC